AGTATCTGCTACATAGCGTCAGTTTGTTGAATTCTTGTAGAATTCGATATTAAATCTCAAATGATCCCTTACGAATATAGTGGAATTATGGTATGAAGGCAACTCTACTGTTGCCTTCATATTTTTCCACTCTTTCCCAAATCCGTTCATCCAGTCTACCATACACTCCAATCTCACTTCCACTGCTCTAAGTGTTTCCCTTTCGCTTTCATTCCTAACCCAACCTTTCTTTCTAGATCTTTCACTCTATCGTTCATCAAATATTCCCCCAATCCTAGCCATCATAGATCGTGTCTTCAACTTTGCTGCTTCCTCTAACTGTTGCTACTTCTATATCCTCCTCACTGGTCACCTCAAGGAATATCGTTTTGTTCAGGTCGTCTCTCAGCTGCTGTCCTTTACAGTCTCCTCCATCGTAGTCTTGGCTTCCTGGATTACGGCATCAATCAACTTTTGCTTCTTGCCAGGGGGCGTCCTGCTCAGCGACTCCCTTGGTTTGAAGACCTCAGTGTCATCCAAGTTTTCTTTCCTTCCATGTAGTATTTTACGCTTTTTTTGATCCATTTTTCGTCACTTTTCATGCGAAATTTGTAACTCGAACCAAATTCATAGAATGCAAGTTGGTATAAACCGGGCCTTAGAGTTTATTTTTTGGCGAAGGTAATCTTATCAGCCTTTGTCCGATGAAAATGGAAAAAACTTCAGCTACAAAATTTTATCAAGTTTGTTTTCACGATAAGATAAATTGTTTCGCACTTCGCACAGAAAACTATACAATCCTTGCTGTTCCCAACATACGTCCGCTCTCTACGATGGTTGAGAACGAAGTCTCTGTCTATTTTTGTCCCTCTTTAATATAGTGATACTGATAAAAGCGTTCATTTTTTCTGATTCCGATTTCAATCAGTGGGGACCATTTTTTTTTTTTACAAAGATCATACAACCAGTGCGACCAGACTCAATTGTGTGGTTATATCTGGAGTAGACATGGTAATTGTTTTTAGTTTAGCTTCTGAGTTCCGAACAGAAGGAATCTTTGGATAGTTTGGTTTTTAGGAATTTCAAAATGATGTGAAATGACTTAGGATGTGCTAGTGGAGTCGAACACAATATTTATACCAAGGATCATGCTCCTATTAGGCAAAGATTCTATGCAATCTAACTCTTTATGCAAAATATTATGTATGATATGGAAGTAGGAGTAGTGGAACCACCGTCATCAGCTTGAGCTTTTTCGGTTTCGGTAAAAAAATCTAATAATTTTACTTTGCGTTGACTATAGAGCCCTTAACGAAGTGACTGCTTATGATAATATAGAAATGTAGGCTTTCACGGCTGGCGTCAATGTTTTGGTTGGTTTCCGGGTTTTGTTGTGGTCTTCAAACGTTTCGACTGCAATTGCGGCAGTCATCTTCAGTGGCGTGGTCGAAGTACTCTTCTTGACGTGTCAACTGAAAGTTGACTTCATTTAATTTTGGGGTTCCCTGAACCCAACCTAAACATTTTTTCAGATATTGGCTTTTTAAAGTTTTTATATCAATGCATTCTTTGAATCAAGATCATTAGCTGAATTATTACCGTTGAACATGAAAACTTATCCCTATCAAGAGCTGACAGATATGATTTTAGCGATTGGTGAGTATAGCTTATGAAAGGGCAAATAGGCCAATACCCAGTAGTGTAGCTACTAAGGGGCTAGGCGGGGCAATCGAACTCAACTTTTGAGAATTTCTCCCATTTTCAAAATTTCCCCCATTTTCAAAACAAATATGACAGATGGCAACTCAGTTACTTGATACATTAATAGCTCGATTAAATACACGATTTACTGGTATGAGTGCAGTTTGTCAAACATTAGATTTTCTAACACCAACATTTTTATTACATGTTGATGAAGCAACTTTATTACAAAAGTGTGACGAATTCCAAAGAAAATATTCAGATATAATAAGCCCTAGCTTTTCACTTCAATTTGTCAATATTTACCACCTACTTGTACCTCAATTAACTCAAGCATGGACTGTTCACCAATTATGTAAGGAAATAATGAGTTAATATGGAGTGCTAGAAAGGTCATTCAGCAAATTAAAAATGATAAAAAATTATTTAAGAAATAGTATGGGCCAAACTCGACTCCGACATCTATCACTAATAGCAATTGAGAACTAAACCGCATCAAGTCTGGATTTAACCGAAGTTATTGATACTTNACTCATAAAACAAGTCAATAAAGGAAACCGTATGGACATCTGGGAAAACTTAAACAATCCATAAATTTGAAAATCATAATTCACTTATCGAGGAACAAATACAAATCAAAACACAAGACCTAACATCCAATATACTACACAATACATTACACATTCCTAGAAATAGTGAACCTAGAGAAAATCCAACACAAAGGATATTACCTGTTGTAACTCAAATACAGGCAAATATACCTTCTCTCCTTTGGAAGATTCCCACATTTTCTGTACCAAGATTGAGAAGTAGAAGGCCACAAACTTTCTTTTCCAAAAATTATAGGGTGACTTGGAGAATGAGATTAACGACATTTCCTCAACCACACTGGAAAATATGAAGGAGATAAGGGAAGCTTTTCGAAAAGTGCCGTCTCAAATGTCATAGAGATTTTTGTGTACAACAGGATGGTCATCATTTCAAGCACTTTGAAATGAATATATTTGTGTTTCATATTTGTATGTTGTTTCAGTTGAATAATAAAAAAATGTATAGTCTGTTCAATAAACTACTATCAGAATACGATTGTAAATGATGACTTCATTTTAGTAAACAGTAAATATTTTCGATGGAGTGAAGTATAACAACTGTCATTGTATAAAAAAGTGACAATGATTTTTGAACATCCTGTATAATATTGAGAAACGGGTTTAATCGAAATCAATAGCCCCAAATCTCTTTCATGCTCGGTCAGAAATCGAAGGGATGATTTCTATACTATATTATTCAGATTCCAATTGTACCTAACATTTTTATAACAAAATCAATAACTCGAGAACGGTTGTAATTAGGTACATAGTACCTCTTATGAAATCATATTATTTTTTCCTGACCTATTCATAAGTGTAACGGAATACAGGGTGTCCCATTAAATAAAACCACAAGTTTGAAATATCACATTTTTTGAGCCACCCAGTAGACTTCATGATAATTTTCATCTGCAGCCTCAATCAAAATACATATGATGAAATGGAGAATATCCCGAAAAAATCGATAGTTTGGTTTACAGGGACCGGGTCGTATGGGGTGCCTCAACTTGTATAGTAAAATATGAGTGACGGTTTTGTGAACTTTTTACTTAAAATTTGGCAAGCATAATTGGGCAAGCCTTTGTAGCGACTATAATAAAAACATTCTAGTATACCAAATGCAATTTTCATGACATGGTATTAATAAACTCCATATTGAACTTTCAATAGAGATTTTCCAAATTTCATAGAACTTCGGGAGTCTTTCAAGCATTTTGGAAAAGTAATTGAGCGATTATTGAGACTGGTTTCACATTTGTTGGGAATACTGCGGATATTTCACATTCTTTCAGATGAGTGCTCAAAATGAAACAGTAGATACATAATATGGATTTTTCAATTCGAATATTTCGAAGACTAATTTTCATATTACGAAATTAGAAATCATTTATGTTCGACGCCAATAAAAGTACCACTCACTTTTGAACTCCTCAAGTATATCAATATAATTAAAATGTTCGAAAAAATAATTTCAAAATGTTCTTGGTCAATGTTATTATCGAACTATAACCTATTCATTCTGTATTTCTCTATGAAAGTAATTATTGAAATCTCCAACAAAAGTTTATTATTTCAACAATGCCAATGATGACCTAGTGATGTCCATCAGCAGATTTAATCAAAACAGACTGATATTAGGGCAGAGATCAGTTTTATTTAAAAAAGTTTGATATGATTATGCGGCATTATTTTTTTTGTTTTTATTCTTTTCAATAACTAACTTTGTGTCATAACATTGTGTCATAACATCTTAGATATTTACATGGATATGAAGTCTTGATAGTGGTGATATTCGAATAAATAACTTGTGACTCAAACATTTTCAATAATAATATTTAAAGAAAATTCAAATAAATCAACATTATACCATTTTTTGATATTATGAAACAAGATATCGAATTATTTTCTAATACGTGTTGAAGAAATCACTGTAAAATCAGTATAAAAATGAGAAAATTGATTTTAATATTGAGAATATACCTCTTTTTGTAAAAGAGCTAAATTGTTTGATTTAGTTGGTTCAACTTTGTTATTGACATGTACTATTTGTTCATCTTGCCTTTCTTGTAATACACTTTTACACATGCGCCTCTTATGCCCTAATTCTACCTGGTCGACAGTAACAATATTTTTTAAGATATGCGTTTTCAACACACTTACTATGTTCGTTATAACTATCCAGTCTACTAATATCGCCAGAAATAGATAAATTCAAATCCTTCAGATCACCGTAATAACCAATGGTTGTTTCAAATATCGCTTTAGGATTCGTTTTAATTGTGAGAAGTAAAAAAGATTCTTTTTTGTGATGAATTGGTTGGGATATTTGGATACTTAAAATTTTATCTACAGAATATTCGGCACATTTATGGGCACCATTTTTGTACTGAATAATGGCATGGATTTCTTCCAAGACATAATTCGTGATTGATTTTTCCAGTTTTTTATCTAGAGTTGTACTGATATATCCTGCACAAGTGCACCAGTGTTGAGCGATTCCGGCGTCTTCGCACGATCTCTCAGGTTCTACTTTTTCGAATAGTGATCTACATTTCGGGCATGCCTGGCTGGGAGTGGATGTAAAATTATGCCCGGAGAGTACTAGGATATGTTTGAGGGTCATATGAAGATCATATGGCGAGGTTAATTTCCGAGAATTACTCCTGAATACCTCAAATTCTTTTGGGAAATTCTGTTGAAACCATTTTGGAAAAGAGACGTAGATGAAGGGTAATCTTTGTTCCAACCACCCCGTAGTAGTCAGCGTTATATCACCAAATCTCATTCCATGATCACTTAAAAAAAATATAATACTATTTTCTGTAACACCTGCCCTGGTTACATCTTCTAAGAGCTGTTTAACCTTGTCGTCCATTCCTGTAGGGGAGTTGATTTCGTTGTGACTGAAGGAATTCATCCAAAAGAATCCGAAATATGGATAATTTTTGAAAGTTATTGAAAATTCTTTGGCAATATTCATTATTCTTTCTCCAGCCGATTCTGGTCCGGTACAATATATTATTCCGTCTTTATTTTGTATTTTCAGTTTCTCCGTTGCTAGAACGTATGGTCTGAAGTAGTAGTCAGAAGGAACGAGTTTGAAACCTTTCTTTTTATAATTGAAAGTATTGATTGAGCCTTCATCTTCTGCATAAGCGGTAATGAATCCCAGCCTTTTGAAGTCGTACCAAATTATTGAACAGTTGTCTAATTTTCCTATTACATTTGGATCACAAACCGAATAGGCATGGGATTGGTTATAACCTGTCAATATAGCCATAAGGTTTGGAAACGTGTTATCGTCTATTTTATTGTAACCTTTAAGAGATAACCAATTATTTTCCTCAATAAATTTGTAGGTATTTGGAAGCGTCCTTATGAAATTAAGTCGAGATATACTATCAATTCCTATGAAAAGTACACTAAATGGCTTCGTGGTGTTGTCAAAGTTTTCAATTTTTTCCTTAACTTCTTCTTTAATTATTACTGCGACATGAACATTTTCGTATACTTCATGTGCAGGTGTGTCCATCTCTGAACATTTCACTAAAACCGGATCATTGTAGATGGTGACGTTGTTTTCGAACACTTGACATGGAGAAATTCTGGAACAACAAATGAAGGTGAAAGCACAGATGTAGAATTCGATAATACTCAATATCTATAATAAGTACTTTTCTTAAAAAATATATTCAATACTTTCAAATTGTTTAGGTTTCAGCAAGTCAATTAACTATCATGCACTTATGTGAGTTATTATTCATGGACAATGAGTAAGGAAACAGTTGATTGATTTTTCCATAAGTTCTGAATTGTCAAAATTCTGAAGATTATTGGGATGATCAAAGAATGTGAACTTTCAAGGTATAAATGCTATTTTCCGCGTTTGTTGGCCGTGGTTTCGTCCACGACGGCGAATGATAATATTAAAGGCAATGAGATGATGGATGTAGTGTTCTCGTTGTCCACTCAGCATATACGTAATACAATGAATTCCATTTAAAGCGAGCCACCCTGAATAACTTTTGGAATAATGATTCGCAGAAAAAATAAAAAAATATGTAAACGATAGTATACAGGGGGACATATTTTGACATATTCACATTTGATGTAACTTTCCCTATCGCATCCCCAGAGCATGGCACCTTTTTTTTAAATGGATCAATTGTTTTGCATTATCAGGTGTTCCATGATGAACAGATTTATTGAAGCGAGCCACCCTGAATAACTTTTGGTATAATGATTCGCAGAAAAAATTAAAAAATAAGTCAACGATAGTATACAGGGGGACATATTTTGACATATTTACATTTGATCTAATTTTCCCTATCGCATCCCCAGAGCATAGCACCTTTTTTTCAAATGGATCAATTGTTTTGCATTATCATCCATGATGAACATATTTCAACAAAGTAGAATACATTATGGTCTAAAGCTCATAGTTTGGAAGCTAAAAATTATTTGAGTTGAAATTGAGCCACCCTGAATGTACTTCTGTACAATCTGTTACCTATTTTCATAAGTGTTTTTGTGTGAGACTTCTAAAAGTCTTAGTTTGCCTAGTAAAGTTTGAATTCGATATTCTCTTCATTTTGTATTTGTCTCATTCTACAATAACGATTATCTACCAGGTGAAGTTACAATTGGGGTTTCTGTTTTTGTGAATTCTTGAGAAGCAATGGTTTATACGCTTCGAAAACGGATTGAAATAGTGAGTTTGTACTACCAAAATGGAACTACTAGAGCTGCTGCCCGTATATTCAATGATAATTATCCAGGAAGAAATGTACGACACAAATACGTTTCGGAATCATATAATATAATAATATAAATATAATATAATCCTAATAATAACGATACAAATATATGCATTAATAATGAGATGATTTGTGCTAGTGCCTCTGCCGAAACCATATGGATTGTGCCGCAGTATTACCAACACTCTCATCCCATTAATAATAGTGTGAACATAGATATGCATTTTTTTTGTTGTTGATAGATGGCTATGTTGAAGAATATATGCTTTTGAGTCTGCTTTAAATTTATGAAGATTTTTACATTCTTTCAGTTCGTTTGGGAGGTTGTTGTATATTTTTGGGCCAAAATAAAGGCTATTTCTTGGAGTGTGAGTTGTGCTGAATCTAGGAACTTTCAGTGTGAGATCAGTGGTATATCTTGTATCTCTAGATTGTTGAAGTTTTTGTTTAAATGTCTAGATGAAGGTTTGTAGGTTATATAAATTACGAATATTCAAAAGGTTTGTCAGATGATACAATTCTGATGTGGAGAATCGTCTATCTTTCTTGTATATTATTTTGAGAATGGTATTTTGAATAATTTGAGTTTTGTTTATAACCCTAGTAAATGCGCCTCCCATGCTGTGATGCAGTATCGCAATACTGATTCTATTAATGAATTGTAAACTTCAAGTAGAACTTTTCTACTTGAAATATCTGTGAGAGTGTAGAATTTGTGAATAAGTTTTCTTACTCTGCTGACAAGGTAGTTAATGTGATCATTCCACCTCATGTGCTGGTCCAGTATGATCCTAGATATTTGATTTTTGAGACTTTCGCTATATTTGGACACTTACAGTTATCATTCCTTTGTAAGCAGCACTCATTATGCAAGAATAAATAATCAAGTCTGGGTTGATACGGTTCTGTNATTGTACTTTTCTGGATGTTTATATTTATTTAGGAAGGTATCATATGCGTTTTGTATGTCTACATTCTCCGTGATGTTGTCCCATCGTTCTGTTTTAAGAAGGTTATTTAATTTGGCGTAATCGATAACTGTATGTGTATTTTCAGATAATATTGGTATATTGTCTTGGTTTTGGTTGAACTCGACTATTGCAGCTACAGAGTAGTGATCTGTTAGTGTATTATTTATCACTGTAGGTTTAATTTTTATTTTTTGATGTTTTGTCAGTCCTAGTGAAGAGATGGTCTAAAATGGATTCCGAAATTTCGGTTATCCTTGTACTGGCATTAATATAGGACAAATAATTATGTTCAATTGAAGTGTTAATATATGAATTTACGTTATTGGAGTCGTTATCTCTCAAATTTATGTTTATGTCACCTACAAAAATTTCTACCTGTAGTTGAAGGAGGTCTATATGTCGATGTGATTCCTAGGTGTATACAGTTGATTTTTATTGTGATCCTGAGTAAATTTATTTGAGTGAAACTATGCTTAACTACCTCTTTCATTTCTAAATTGTTTTTGGTCTAAACTACAAGTCCATCAATTTTGTTGAATATTGACTCATTATAGTGTATACTGAAATGGGGACTATGGTAATCATTTATCGATTGTATGTTCCATTTTTCTTAAAGAATGATTCAATCGATATTTTGCAGATCGGACTCTATATAGATTAACAGTTCCTCAAAAATCTTCTTGATACTTCGTATATTGAAATGGATGATTCCCAGACTGTTTTCATGTTTATTCTGAAAGCAGTGACTGATATTTTAACATATTTGTGTTTCTATTTCTCCTTCTCCATCCAATTCTTTAAAAAATTCAAGCATTTGTGAAGTATGACAAAAAAAATAAATCAAAACTTATTCTATTGGTGAGTTAATTCAGTGTTGCTTGAGAGCACCCAGTTTAGTGCGATTTTAGTTTAAAGTGTTATTATGTTATTATGTATTTTAAAAATAATGTATCAACAGGTTTTATTTATAACATATTCTATAATTTATCAATATCAGTCTCATCATTGAAAATCATTTTTCGATTATTTTTTAATACATAAATCTTTCCTGAGCTGGTCCAGACGTTTCTTACCAATAATTTTTCGATTGCCTTGCCCATAAGTTTCAGTCTTCGTGTGGTTGAGGTCTTCTTTTAATTCAACGTATGTCCCTTCCATCATTTTTTTTGTTGAAAATCAGATTTCTCATAGTTGAATCTTTCATTTTTAGGAATATACTCCGCGGTTTGAGGTTGTCTTCAACTTTCTTTCCAACTCGACTGCATATCAGGATATCGTATCAACAGTTTTTGATTCAAGAAGTTTATTACCTCTCCTCTTGTGTCTTCTCTGTCACACACACGTTAAAAGGTAAGACCTTGTCAGTCCTTAGCACAAGTTTCGACGTCTGAGAGTTTTCGTTCGTAGGAGTGCGACAGCTTGTCAACGGAAAAACATATTTTAAGCATATGTATTTAAGTGTTCTAATATTTTTTCAATTTCCTTCTAATTGTTCATTTGATTTCATTTCACTTCCCATTTTTGATAAGTATTTCTCTGTAATAGTTCCGAATAGTTTTGTTCACTTTCTTTATTGATCCAAATAACTCAACTATTAACATGACTACTAAGAATTTCGCTCACTCAATCAAATAAAATTTTGTACTGAATCTGGAAGTTGGATTGCTTTTCAAAAATTATTCTTCATCTCTGTTCATAACTTTTTCACAACATTTTCATAAAACTTACTCATTTTCGTCCTAACATATGTCGGGAAAGACATAACATGAATGAGAGTGGTGGAATCTAAATTTAAATTGGTATCTTACGATTTGATTCTTTGGCAACATCGCGGATGCAAAATACTTGTTATGTACAAATAATATACATTTCGGATGCAAAAAAGTGCTAGACATGTGAGCAAAATATACAAGAAGGAATCAATATAGATAGTGAAGAGAAAGTAAGCAAAATCAAAAAAGTGAAAAAATCGTATATATTTTGTTTTGAAAATAGAGAAATATGAAATAGTGTCTCGTTTCTGAAATAACATGAATATTCAATATACGCAATTATATTCACCCTAAATACATTACTTCTGGTGGACGCAAAATACTTTGTCTGCGAAAGGACGCAAAATGCCCGCGGGATGACTGAACTGGTCATCCTGTTGTCTGTTCGGACTGACATTTGTCGTAGAGATTCTGTCTGTGAGTTCCATTGAATTTTTGATGCTGTGGTCGTTGTTCCTGTTGATTTTTTTTTTTAGTTCGTCGGCTATGATTTTTGAAATTTTGTATGAAGGTGCTCTGGTGAAATTGATAACCGGTCTTATAGGTTTATTTTCCTTATGTATCTTTATCTGTGCGTTGAGTTTTGGTGCTTTTGGGTTGTTGACTGTGTATCTGTTTAATGCTTTGTTGTTAAAGATCTGTTTGATGGATTTTATTAGGCTATTAATTTGTCTTTCATATTTTGTGGTTGGATCGTGATTCATATGAAAGTGAACAAATATATAACGGAAAACGATTTTAGCACACAAGCACTACAGGAAAATCGTTAAGGACTCAGAGCGGTGCTTGAGCGAAAGTAGCGATTCACATTGGATTCGAATCGCTGGAGATTGAATCCATTTGGAAAAACGTTCCCAGGAAGTTATTCCACATAAACGCAGTTCTTCAAACGAAAGAGTTCAGGAACAGTAAAGTTCAAGGTTAACTGAGTTGAACCTCAAAACGATGAGCATCCACAGTCCGTCGAGTATTTCTCATATGTACCGCTATTGGTGGAATCAAATGTGCCAAGTCACTTGAACACTTCCCGTAAAAGTATCTATAGAAGAGAGACAAATATACCACCTATCTGCGATGTTCCAGGCTATCAAGGTTGTACGTGATGTTTACGTCTCCAATCAGGCAGATGGCTCTTTTCTGGATGGAATTCAGCAGCTTCAGGGTATGTTTGCCGATCCAAATGGAATGAAGAGACAGGTGTGCTCGTCAGCAAAGTAATATACTGGATTTTTGGCTTCCAATAAGTTGTTGATATACAGTAAAAAGAGGGTTGGAAACAATACGGATCCCAGGGAAACACAAGTGTTGATGGTCAAATTTTCGAGAGATATCCATCGACGGCCACTTGCAGGAAACGTTCTTTCAAGAAGATGAAGAGCCATACACAAAAATGATCCGACGAGTCATAGCATCAAGGCAAAGGCCTTTGGCCACACACGGCCAAAGGCCTTAGAAATATCAAGCGTAACAGCTCTTGTCTCTCCATGTTTCTCGATTGCGGTATTCAAAATATGGGTGACATACGATAGAAGGTCTGTTGTTGAT